TGGAGGGCATTGCCAGTAGGTTGGAGGTCATTGCTATTAGGTTGGAGGCCATTGCTAGGAGGTTGGAGGCCATTGCTAGTAGCGTTGCCATTAGGTTGGAGGGCATTGCCAGTAGGTTGGAGGTCATGGCTATTAGGTTGGAGGCCATTGCTAGGAGGTTGGAGGGCATTGCTCTTAGGTTGGAGGCCATTGCTAGTAGGTATGAGGCCATTGCTAGTAGGTTGTTGGAGGGCATTGCTAGTAGGTTGGAGGTCATTGCTATTAGGTTGGAGGCCATTGCTAGCAGACTGCAGGCAATTACAAGTAGAGTCAAGTAGAGTTCCACAGCAGAAGTCACCCAGCTCCTCTCCAGAATTCTGTGACGGCCACTTTCCGTCAGACGTGACCAGCGGGGGCCAAACGGCCCAAAGCCGGTGACGACCAAGGAAACTTGTAAAGCGGTTGTCTCCTTGCAACTCGGCTTGTAGCACATCATCGAAGGACTCCCACATGAACTTCATTGAGGCCTTCCCAAACCATTTGAACGCATTTTTCAATTTGGAAAGTTTAAAGATTGTGGGGCCTATATACGCCCTGCCTTTATCATTCAATCTGAATCCGAACCAAACAAAACAGTCGCCTCCATCTTCTGCGCGCCTTTCCGACTCACCATGTAGCCCCAAACGCCGCAGCAACCCGTGGAAAGGACATCTTCCCCTGTCATAGCTCGAGAACCGATGGAGTACAAAAAGTAAGAACTTTCCTGCTGCAACTTGGGCCTGTAACCATACGCTTTAGCAATGTACTCCTCTTCAGCAGAGGTCGTACATTTGTCGAGTGGATGCCTCAATTGCATGATCTTCCTTGGCTGGGCATACTGCAAACTTCGCAATCTCCAGTCCAACGGGCCCAAAATGACAATGTCCAATATATCGCCAGCACAGGAAATGATGTCCTCCATCACCGAGTTCATGTCTGGATTCAGCACTTGGTCATCTTCCAGGACTACCACAAATGGAGAGCCTTCCTCAAGACCTTGACGAACTGCACGAGTGTGTGACAACCATGAGCCCACATAACCAACAAAGTGGCGCTCCTCCGCTGCAGTCATTGCCACTCCAATAGCGGGCCTGGCTTCATCCCAGCGTAGCGCAAAGCTCGTCAGGTCTCGAAGGTACGGACGAGCGCGACTCCGGCGCACGACCCGATGACGACCGTCGGTGGCCGCCATGCGTCGTGCACGCAGACCACACCGCTGAACTTCGTGGCGCATATCCTTTAGCCTGCACCGATCTGCACAATGCATTAAAAAAATGGATTACAAGAACACGTGTTTGGACCAGCTTGCATCTTTTCTCTTTGGGCCTCCCACCTATGTGGACTCCGGTCCAGATTCACAACGAAAACAGGAATCTGCGGAGCATTGTTGGGCATTGAAAGTGCCATCGGGCCCATGAAGGGCAGAACGTCGGTCGTTCGCTTGCGGAGATCTGTTGCTGCTCGACGCAGTTTCCCAAGAAGCTTCCGTGTGCGCGAAGTTGCCTGTGAGCAAGGACTCCAAGGACGCTACTAGGCTCTTGGCATCGCTACTAGGAACAATGTGCGCTATTAGAAACAAGAAATACATAGAATTTGATAGAATTTGAATTGAATTGAAGCTAAAAGTTACGCGTCGAACACTGTCAAGCAGTGCTAGGTACGTGTCAATGCAGTGTTTAGGCACGTGTCACAGCTTTCCTTCTCAGTGCTGCCAGGGTGCCAAAGACACCCCCTCTGAACTCAACACCAAGGCTGAAGCCAAGCGGGCAGCACTTCGGGCAGAAAAGCTGCCTGTAGAAGCAAAGATTACAATGAGGCAATGAGCAGCGCGGGTTCTAGTAGTAAGAACACACAAGCACACTCCAGTTGAATAGTCTTAGGTCAGCCAGTAGGAGGACTAGGAGGTTCATGGATGTCATTAAAGTATATTAGCATGTCACGAGTCATTAATCATTAGATCTTTGTCCGAGCTGCACCCTCCAATGTGAAACAAGAGAGATCTTGGAAGCAAAAGGCCTACAGGCCTTCAGAGAGATCATGAAGCCCTGGTATTGGCGCCAAGCCAATGGAGGTCATGACGCTGCCAGGAGGTGCGCAATTTTCGCATAAACCTGGTGATTCCGCTTATGAGCACTGTTTGTGGCCCCGCCTTACAAAAAGAAAATCAAGATCATCTGCTTTCCTTTCTGAGTCAAGTGGCCAGATTCAGAATTCCACAGCCTTGACAAACTCCAGCATTTATAGCAGCAGCTGTGTGGTCGAAGGCCATTGTCTAAAAGCTGCAGGGATTCTTCTCTCACATCCACACAAAACATAGCCCCATTGTCCAACCAAACACGCCACTGACCCCTAGACAAGTAAAATTCGCCTAGTACGCCATGAGTGCCAGCAGGCACAGTACCAACTGACTGGATTAGTTTCACAGCTGCCCCTGGCAGAAATTGGAGCTTTGGGCTAGCTTCACGGAAAGTTTCTTCCACAAGTTCTTCCACCAAACTATGTCTTCCACCTTGCCCGGACAAGGCCAAGGAGACGGCGAGGTCTGCAAGATCTTCCTCTGCAAGATTTTGTTTCAATCTCAACCCAGCGCTTGCAATCTCCTGAAGGGCCTCTGTGAGGACCGCGTTCGGTGTGGAGTCGGACTGTATTAAGTCTGACAAAGCCAGTGCGAGTCGTGGAATAGTCTGGGCTGGGAGTTCCAAACCATTTGCCGCTTTTTCTTTGATCAAGTGTTTGGCAAAACGTTCTGCAATTCCAAGGCCATCAGCACCGAAAGCAAGAACTTGAGGCTGCGCCAAACCACACAAAATTGCCGCCATAGCATCTTGTGAAGCCTTCTCTGGGATTTTTATGGATTCCAGGGATTCAAGGACTTGCTTTTCTGGAGCTTTGGCTGTCAGGTACACCCAGAAGAGATCTGCTGCCACGTGCAAGTCATTGGCCACTCGGATAGCCTCTGCTGCTTCTTCAGCGCGGATACGCAAAGCAAAGTCACCATGCGCTAAGCCAACTAATTGCAGTTCACCTGCCAAGGAAACATAGTCAGATCCATGACAAGGTTGTGCATGTTTGGCCAAGCTTCGAAGAAATGTGCGCAAGAGGTTCTTTGCAAAGACAGACTTGTGAGGCTCATCTGCTTTGCGAGCTTCGCTTTGCAACGTCAGCGTCTTTGAGACCAAGCTCTCAGACAACACCACCATGGTCTCCGCATGTAACCATGCAACACACTCTCCAGCTAAACAGATCAAGTCGGCCAACTGCTCAGCTTGACACAAAGGTGAGCTGATCTCTGTTTCAATGCGTGCGACTAGAGTTTCCACAGAGGTGGATGCCGGGCACTCTGCCGACAACTTTGGGCACAACGACCCGTCCGGGAACTGCCACGGCCTATCGTCTGGGATCTCCAGTGATCGGCTTCCGCCAATTCGCTCATGCTTTCGAGGAGGCAGGAGGAAAGAAGGAGACGGATGCCGACCAAACAAGTCCAAGAAGCAATGCCTGCAGAAAGTGCTGCTACTGTCACTGTCTATCTGATACAATACCGTTCTTCTCTTGCAGCCACAGCTCGGTGCAATTGTCATACCACGCCCTCATGGCTGTCGTTAACCGCTAGGCTCTAGCACTCTAGCTGCCTAGAAGTTTGCAAAGGTGTGATGCCCAGCACTTTGTGTGTGTGTGTGCGTGTGTGCGTGCGTCCTCTTTGATGCAAAGCTATTTAGAATGTTGCCCAAGTGATTCTGAGCGGAAACCCGGAATAGTATGGAATAGTGAAGACAATGTGGATGGTCAGCAAACCTGTGTACTCGGTTGTTCAATATGGCAAATTCAAGCAATCCTGGCTCTTGGGCGATCGGCCATTGGCTTTGGGCTTGCTGAAGGACATTGCGGGGGGAAGCATAATATATCGCAGCAACTGCAAATGCTGTCAGCCGCCTGGCCCACATACGATCTCTGAAACGATGCCTGGCAAACGCGCAATAGTGCTGACTGACTGACTTCATGAGTTATAAAGTAACAATGTTTGCTACTAGGAACAAGTGCATCGCTAGTAGTAACAAGTGCCTTACTAGTAGTAACAATGTTTGACCGGCCTTTTGGAGTGGGTCCTGATGGAGCGCCGCATCCTCAGCACTGGAAGATCTTTTGTGGATGAACTATCCTGGTCTTGGTTGAGCCCCAGCCCTTCCTATCATGATATATTTGCAACATGAAAAATCAATGCTGACAGCGTTTTGAACGAATTCGGCTTTCCCTCAAGTCCCAGGAGCATCAGCCAGTGCTTCGTCTGCACGCTTGGTTGGAGGCGCCTGGGCTGCTCAGGGGAGGTGTGGGAGGTGTGGCTTCCGTTCACTAATCTTTAGGCCAGGACGGCATGCTCGTCAGCCAGCTGGCCTTTTTCAGTACAGCAAGCAGTACTATTTTGGTGTGGCTTGATTCCGCTTCTGTGCTTTGACGTTTGCCTTTTTGACATTTTTGAATCGGAGCTGTAAAGTTCTGTGTGCCCTGCTTGGAACCTTGGAGAGGCCAGCCTGGAAGGAAACACATGCAATCAGTCATCAAGCAGCTACTGTGGCAGGAAAAAACCCTTGTTTTGTTCTTGGTGTCTCTGCTCCTGACCTCTCCACCACCCTGCGGATCGAACTCGCCACGTTCTTTGCCTGAAGGCACATTGCCATGACAAACCCATCCAACTGTGGATCCTTAGCGTTGCTCAGCTCAGGCTGCTGCTTGTGACCTCATTTCCGCAGCAACATGTCCTTGGCACTAAGCCCGCATGGAGTTCAGAAATTTGCATGGCAACAGGCAAAATACATTCTTCAAAACATGCTGCGCGTAGAGCCGACTGACAGGAACAGTTGAAACACCTTCAAGGGCCTGGCGAACAAAACATGCTCAAGGCTCGCCGGTGTCCGTGCACAATTGGGGGACTCTGCCTGCCAAAACAAGACGGCCATCTTGAGTACTTCAATGAGAAAGCTTTCACTTATGAGCAGGGACTGCGGGTGTTGTTGGAAATGCTTGGAAATTCCGGCATACTCTGACACAAGCTTTGGGCTGCTTTGGCTAACCGAAGAGAAGCCGAATTAAGACCGGGCAGCCACACCTCCAATGGCACGGCCAGGGCTCTCCCGAACTCTGGAGGCTCCGGACACGGCGTTTGAGGGCTTAAAAAGATGGCAGTCCGGCAAGCCTCTAGTAGCATCCTTGCTCCTAATAGCGATGCCAGGAGCCCCTAGTAGCGTCCTTGCTCCTGGTAGCGATGCCACAAGCCCCTAGTAGCATCCTTGCTACTAGCAACTCCAACCTACTAGCAACTCCAACCTACTAGCTACTAAGTTAATTGCGATGGCCACCAACCTAGTAGCGACTCTGGCTTGTGACTTTGTGGTTTCTGGTTGCGTTTTCATATGGTTGCCGTTTTCATCTCGCTTGAATTTCTGTTGTGGGTTGTATTGATTATATTGATTTGCTCTTCTGCACCTGTCTTGAAGCCGTTCAAGCTGTTACAATGCACTCCTCTCTCAAGGCACCCATTTTCCGCACGCATTCAGCTTCCACCAATCTCGGCGGCCCGCCTGCTTTGGACACGGCTGCCTGACACGTGAGCAGTTGTAATACGTTGTGAGATTTATGTGACTTGTCACTTAAACATGAAAGCGTGTTGGGACAGCGTTTTGGGAATGACACCTGAACTGGTGCTGATGGTATCCTCCAGCTAGTCGCACTGGATCCTGAAGCCAGCAAATGACTCCATATGGCTCCATTGGCCTTTGGCGCTGAAAACATCTCCCGTCCTCTGCCGCTGCTGCACGAGAATGTTTGATTGGAACATGGCCTTATAACTTGGAATTCCAAAAGCCTTTCAGAAGGGCCTCTCATGCCTCTGGCACATGCCAAGACCTGGACGATGAGCGCTGAACTGAGGGTCTCAGAGCTTGTGACTCTGACTCCGTCGACTCCTTTGTTGCATGGTCGAGGGGATCTGGGAACAAACGAGAGTGAGCATGACCCAAAACAGCGAAATAATGCTACAAATGTAGGCTCCTCCCCTGATCCTGGGAGATACCAGGCTTTCTCTGCATCGGAACCTACAATAAACACAACAGCACTATTCCAAGCAAGCAGCAACAGCTGACTAGTTTGCGTAAGAGGTCCACCACAGGAGTCGGGCATGTAGTCAGACTCTGGACCCTGGATACTCCGAAGCTGGCTGATACGGCAATTCATTCCAACAAAGCACAACAGGCCTGTCGCGCTGATTCGTACCAATCCATTTCGCCTGCACCGGCGCATTTCCGACATGTAAACATCTTCCAAAAAACATGTCAGCGCAAATTGCCAATTTCTTGGGGCCATGACCGCCATGCCTCAGCGCACAACGTGTCATTGCCACACCAGCAGTTCTTCTACGCAAACAGCAGGATGTCAAGTCAAACATAGTCAAACCATGTCAAACCTATATCTAACTAATACGCTGCAGTTCTTCTGTACGCCGACTTTTTCGGCGAGTCTTCAATCCAAGCCCTCCAAAGAAGTAGCGTTTGCCCCTTCACATGTGGACTGTGGTACCTTGATCGCAGCGCAAGACGCAAGAGCCAAGTCTGGAATACGTTCACTTGTCCGGTTGCTGTGGCTCCCGGCAGTCCCAGCCTGGATGAGCCGTTCGCAATTTGCAACGCATTCCTCCAATTGACGACCTGAACAGCTCAGCCAGCTTCTGCATGTCATCCCTAGGCTCTAGGCATGCTTCTAGTCGCGCCCCATAAGCCCCATCAAGCCCCATGCGTGTGGGGCTAGCCAAGTGCTCCAATCGCCCTGCCGCCAGCCGCAGCCAGGCCCCGGAGCCATATGTGCCGCAACAGATTCTCACGCTCTCCTGGCTCCCCGTCGCTACCAATCAGAGTCAGCCGGAGCACACAGTTTGGTGGGCTCAAAAGGCCTCCAACCTAATAGCAAAAGGATCCTAAGAGCGATGGCTTCTAGTAGCCGTGGCCTCCAAGCTACTAGCGATGGCCTCCACAAACTGTTTCCCAAAGACAAAGAGGGCCCGAGAAAAACCGGACCCCTCTAGCCAGCTGGCGACACAAAGCCTTAATACACGAACGTTCTCAGTCGAAATCTTGTCCTGGACATGCTCTTCCCAAGCGACGCTCTCAGCTGCCATTGCAGAGAGTGAGGCCTCTGTGGCTGCAGCGGTGTGGCTGGGAGAGAATGGGAGAAGCTCAGCTGTGACATTACGCACGGCCTCAGACCAAGATCAAAAAGTAATTAATACAAAATGTTCACTGAAACAGCTTGAAGGCAAGTAGAGCAAATGCTTCTTCATCTTGGCAAGCACTTCTTGCATAAAGTATCTCCACTGCACCTCCGTAGCATCTCCCAAACTGAAGCTTCGAAGTTTCCAAACTCTTGCACCCAAGTGTCCAGCCACAACTGGTGCGCCTCTTCGTAGCGTTGGCTCTCTTGGAGGCCAAAGGCCAGCTCAAATGCTGGGGCGGCCCAGAAGGAAGCTAAGAGAAGTCGGTAAAAAGCCTTGACGGGATGTCGCTTTCCACAAGTCCCCGCATTTTCCAAAAATATAAGGACAACTGTTACAAATCATCATGCATGCGCAATGCTTCTGAACTGTCTTAGTGTGTGCCAGGTGACCAACAAATCATCGGTACTTTTATGGGTTGGAGTGTTTCCAGTCAGATCCAAAGCCCTCACATCAGCAGCTGTGCATTGACACGCCGCCTGGTAACCTTAGATGCAAACGCCTGTGAGTCGGCAACCTGATGCAAGTCAGTTGTAGATGACCTTGCTTTGGATTCACCAATAGGGCTGAAGCTGGTGTGGACCAGCAGGTGTGTCACTTTGGGTATGCTCCATCCGACCATTGTGCATTAAGTTAAGTCAAGTTTCCCTAATCATTAGTGCGAGCGCTTCTTCAAGGAAGCTTCCATGCGCCCTCAGGCGAGTCGCCCTGAGCTTGCTCCCTTATTTAATTAAGTAGGCGCCTATACTTATAACTAAGTAAGGAGGCAGGCCCACAGACTAAAAAATTGAACTGAAACCACGATAATGGATATAGGACAAAAACACTCTGGGTCAATCATATCTCACTGCCCATTCCGATGAGCGAGGAGCGCTGAAACCCGCGCTCTTGCAAGACTTCTGCTGGCAGCAGGTCCTTGGTTCAGCTAACATTGCCAATAGTTCACAGATAGGTTGGAGGCCGTCGCAACTAGGTTAGTTGGAGGCCATCGCTAGTAGGTTGGAGGCCATCCTAAGTAGGTTGGAGGCCATCCTAAGTAGGTTGGAGGACATCGCAATTAGATGGGAGGCCATCGCCATTAGGTTGGAGGCCATTGCTAATAGGTGTCTTCGCCAATAGTTCACACAAAAAGGGTTTGTCTTTTTGAGTCTTGCCTCCGTTCTGTCTTGGATGGCAACCAGAAACTCAGCCAGTGCAGTCTTCGTGGAGTCTGCAGTGCTGTTGACGAGTTCGCGCAACTCCTTTGCAGACCGGATGGGGTTGCAACATGTCACGCGGCAACCGCGGCGTTGCTGATGTGTGCCACCAAAAGGCTTGTGCATTAATGTGCTTTTCAAGCTTCATTGGCCTTTCAGTTCTTTTCGGTTCGCAGGTATATGTCATATATGCGGGTATGTTTTATGCCGATGTCGGTGGCTGCCTGTCCAACTCCCCAACTTCACTCCTCCTCTGAGCAAGTTCCATCTTTTCGGCGGCGCTCAAACCGTCGCCAAGCTGATCGAGCGACACGGTCGGCCTGGCTCAAACACCACTCACTGGAGTAACATCGAAACATACAGCACTGCCGCACCACCGGACCCCAAAGAAACATAGCAGCGAGAGGAAGTGGAAAAGGTAAGGCAAGTTTAAAAGTCGAAAGGGAAAAACGACACATAAAAAGGAAGAATGGCAACGCAGCACTTGATGATCTAACCTGTTTCAGGCTTCCAGATTGCAATCTACACCAAACTACCACTACTGCAGTTTCCCAAATCACCATGTTGCACATGACCACCAACTTCTCGCATTCACCACATTCAGCTAATGGATTTCAACACACATAGTAAAAACATGTAAAAACTACCGATAGAATACGGTTCAATGTGCTGAAGGCATGAGGAAAGTGATTTTTTTCTCATTGACATCTGAAAAACACAATTCGTCCAGGACTTGCCTCAGGTGCAGCCGCCCAAACCCGCTCTTCCAACAGGCACCTCCAGCAGCAACACCTCAGCTTTTGTTGGAGAAATGGCTTTGACAGCATGGCCACACGGAGAATGCGCAGAAGAGTCATGTGGAAAATCGAATCTAGAGAGACGAGAAAAGGAAGGACCTCCTAACTCCTTCTCAACGTTGCAAGGCACATCAATCACCCAAGATATTGCGCCGTACGACAAGAAGCCTGAATGCCCAGGTTGACTCCAGCTCTGCTTGTCGAATGTAGAAAGGCGCTCGAACTTCAGTATAGGCGCAAACAAGTTCCTCACCCAGGAAAAGATCGCCTCGGGTGCACCAAATATACAAGGGCTTGAACAACAGCCACGCCAAGTCGCAATACGGTATGATAAGGTCAAATTGAGCAGCTCTTATGTAGGCCTTGGGCTTGATTGCTCAATGACCTCGCTGTGGATTCTTCAAAGCTTGTGCCGAGCTACGAGATGCCCTGACCACCAAGCAGGACGAGAAGGGCAGCCTGGCGGAACAGCTGCATGCTTTCTTGGGGTGCGGGTTCTGGAGAGCAAATGCACTTGCAGTTGAAGGGATGGCCTCCAACCTACTAGCGATGGCCTCCAGCCCAATGGCAATGGCCTCCAACCTAATACCCAGAGTTGGTTGTGGAAATTGGATGACATTGGGCCCCGCCTGTTGACTGTTGGGAAGCATGAGTGATTCAGCATGCTTCCATTTAGATAAACTGCCACGCCATTGCAGGGCTGCGCTTCCAGTGTTTTCAACGCGGATGGTTTCATCACCAATTTTACCACCGCCATTCCGTTGAAAGAGGCAATGCCACGCAAACGCCCAGTCGCCGGGACCACGAGTCCAGGACCAGCTTGGGCTGGAGGCGCTGAATTGCTCCGCCAACGGAGAGCCATCAACCTCATCTGCTCCTCAGGAGTAAGCTCTGTCCAAAGCGAGCTCGCAGCTGCAGCAAATTCATCGGCATCGGCCTGCTAGTTCAGCTTGGGATATGCTGAGGACATGTGCGGATGCGCGCAAAAAGAAAGGCTAGTCGGCTAGTAGGTTCGAGGCCATCGCCAGAAAGAAAGGTTGCATCTGGAACCAAGAGGCACATGGAGGCAGCACCGGTTTGTCAGCGAGAACCTGAAGTCAAACGACCCGTTCGCACGTCTCAAACCAATAGACTGCAATAGACCCCTTCGAAGCTGGTTTACGAAGCGCGCAATTGCCACAACCGCCCAATCAGCTCTGCAAACACCAACCGAGAAACACTCGCAGCGCCAACCGCAAATTGCAGTAGAACACGCAGTGGCTCATCAAATATATAGTGGTTTCATGTGGTTTCTTCATGCCCTGTCCATCACACGCTGTCGAGGCACCACTTCGCCGGGCAAGATTTGCTTCAGTGTCCGTAGCCCGCGGCCGCACGAAGCCTCAAAGGTCTCCACCTGAGACTCTGCGACACGTGATTGTCACCGAAAGTCTGTCAGGTTGATTCCAGTCAATCAATGAAAAACATGAACAAACATATTTATTGCAGTTATTTGCATGAAGCGATGGCCCTCAACCTACTAGCGATGGGCTCCAACCTAAGAGCAATGGCCTCCAACTAAAAAGGCAATATACACGTTTGCAGTGATTTTGCATGAACATTCCCTCCAAGTCTACACTCTCTTCTCATGGTGTCCTTGCTTTGCCTCACAGATCTCTGTAGGCTCGCAAGGCTCCAAGAGATCAAGCCCATATTGTTCCATGGCTCCATGGCACGGAAGTTCTATGCCGCCAGCGCCATGTGCAAAGCTATCGGGTATCAAAGTTTGATAAAATTATATGATATAGCTTACTATTACTATATACCCTATAAAGCTATAATAGGGCACCAGATTTTGATGCATTTTGTTTGTTTATTTTGCATCAATTTGTCAAGCTTAAAGTAGAAACATCTTGTGGTAGTCCCCGAGTCTCGAGGCTTGTTCATGCCTTGCCCAAGCATGAGTCAAAAAATGCAATGAATTCACATGCGCCGGCAAAATTACCAGGTGTTTAGAATCTCGTCATTGTTGTTGTTGAATCTGCAACAACATGGTCACCAAAGAATTCGGAGGGAGCTTGGGAAAGGAGCATGTCACGCTGAATTGTGCATCTTTCTACGGGTTATTTTTTGTAGAACATGGTAGAATAAACGCAAGAATCAAGCATGAGAAAAAGAAGGTAAGAGCCCTTCAACACGGGCCCCTCGCCTTCCTTGTTTTTCATAAGGCCTCACACCGAACAACGTTGCCACCATTGTTACACCATAGCGTCATCATTGCAGCAGGATTCCTTTTATCAGAGAGTCACCTTCAACATCCTTCAACCTGGGAAATAGCATTGTGTAATTATGATTGTAGGTGTTGCTCAAAAATTCCTATCAAAATGCAGCCTGGCAGACGCAAGGTCTGTGTTTCGGGCCAAAGTTGTGGGGACAAGCAAAAGGTCGCGCATGACAGGAACTGTTGCCTTAACCTTTTGAGCGAGAGAAAGTATGCTGAACTAAGATTAACGCCAAAGGTACGGATCCTGGTGCGTCAAAGCAAGCGCGTAAACTTCAAGTCTGAAGCCGTAAATCCTTAATGAACATATTGGGGAGACTGGCCGGAGACTGGTGTCTGTCCTAAGAATACTTTATGACTTCTCCTGCCTCGGTATGGAGGTTTGCTAAAGCAAGACGCTCCAGCAAGCGTTTCCGCACCTCTGGCCACCAAATGCCCTTTTTGAAAACAACAAACTATTAGGCTGGAGGCCTCCAACCTAATCTGATGAGTTTCATACCGACCAGTATGTTTCACATACAATTTGGTACACAACCTTGCCGCCACACAAAACATGAGATGCCTCGCAAACCTTTTCCAAGAAAGTTGCAACAAACTACAAGAATACCCTCAAATCACAACGCTCGAAGTTGGTAAAAGATCGGAGGTAAGAAGTGTGCTGATGCCAAATCGAGCTCACTCTCCCGCACATTGGCCTTTCAGGAGTTTAAGCAAGGCACAAGCTGAGCAGTGTGTTTGCTGCAAGCAGGCTATGCTTGAGCTTGCCCTTATTGCAACCACTGCCAGAAGCTGCGTTCTTACTTGTGGTGGTTCTACCGTTCTACCAGCAGACTGTGCCCGGTGCCTCCGCAGCCTTCATCTCCAAATGGACCAAGGCCACCTGTGACTTCAGTCCCACATGATACCCGTTTCTCAACTCGAGCGAACATGTGGACAGAAAAGAAAAGACAAAACAAAAAACAGCCAGAAAGAAAACTCAAGAAGGACAACAGGTCTTTCAAAGACAAAGAGCCACAACATTTTTGTATGAACTCTCAGCTGAGGACGTCATCCCGCAAGCCTTCCAAATCCCAGGCCTCGGCCGTAAGTCAGAGAACACCTTTACATGTTGCTTTCTGGAGTAGCGTCAGTCGCAGATCGCCGCCGCAATGGCTTTCCGCATCTTTTTTTATGATACTGTATGCACTCCAACCTATTAGCGATGGCCTCCAACCTAATAGCTACCTTTTTGCTTGTCTTTTCGAGACCTTTCGTCAACTTTAGTCCTTTCTTTCTTTACACCTCTGTGCTGAGGCTTGAACACCATGCACCTTGACCAAGTGAGAAGAGCAAAACACGTGCTGCGATCTCTCCCAATCTCCTTTTGAAGTTTGCGCCGCTCAGCTGCTTGCCCAGTAGTCGCCGGGGTCAACACTGCCGCCTAGTTCAACAAAGAAACACCTAAACGATCCTAAACGGCAAAGAGAACTGACGCTTCACAATGCCCATTTCATCTTTTTTCCTTCTTGCCTTTGGCTAGCTCAGCTAGCAATTCAGCCACCTGTGACAGGGTTCCGACCGCATCCAATTGCATGCAATGAAGCGCATTGTTGCTGCAACGTTGCAACCACATCGACTGGTGCATGACGGAGTGACGCGCCCCAACTCAGATTGTGAGCGCCTCGCCCTCCGGCACTGGCCACTCCTGTGCAAACTGAAAGCACAGAAAACCATTTCTCTTCAGCCTCCAGTGCTGTTTCATTTGTTTGTGGTGCATTATCCCCACTGGTACCAAGAAGAGACGTTGAAACATATCTTCTTTTGAACATGTCAATGCAAAATGGGTTGCTGGTCAAAAACTGAGGAAAACAAGAACAACCCGGAAGGTCTTTGGCGGTCTTTTGATATAACACGAGTCTGCAAATTTTGACTTCTCAGCAACCTCCGTCAGGGAGATTGTCGGGAAATCATCCGTAGTCAATGAACATATAATGACTTTACGACATAGCATGTGTTTGTTTTGAAGACTGCAAGATCTAATAGTCAAAGTCTTACTAAAATACATGTGATTTTGATTGGTTTTGGGCAACATCAAGGGAGGACCCTGCGAAGCCTGTTCTGTAACTTAGTTAAACTCACCAACCACAGCCAAAGTTGGTAGTTTAGTAGCAACG